AATGGAGTGCTCGAGAGCAAAACATGTGCATAAATTGAAATATCTGTTGAATAGCAGCATTCCTCGCATAAAGAGGGTGTTCTTTCGAATGTAGAAACGACGTAAATCGTTAAGTGAATTTTTAAACAGTTTTTGTTTATACGGCAAATAATCACTTTATGCTGTCTTATTAGCTGCGACTGCGGCGTTCTTGTTGCATCGCCGGATGTAACGTTGACGGGTGAGCCGACCTCTCTGACGTGTTCTAGACCACTGGGTCTCAACCTTTATGAGACCGCGGCCCAGTAAGTTCTTTTTTTATAAGACGAGCGCCCAGTCCCAACAAATTTACTCGTAATTACCCTTCCAGTTTTGTTAAAGTTCATGCATTAAGCTAACATAATATTAGTAATTAAATACAGCATAATCATAAAGAGTATTAGTACGCTTGCCGGTCACGGTAGCCGAGCGGTCTAAGGCATGCACTGTCTTCGCTCGCTCGGAAGCCGAGATCGTGGGTTCGAATCCCACTCAGGGCATGCATGTTTGTGTGCGTTTTTCTGTGTTTGTCTACAGGTAGAGGCCTTGAGACGAGCTGATCATTCGCCCAAGGAGTCCTACCGTATGTGTAAGATCTAGAAAACCCGAAGTGAACGGAGTTCATGGAGGTAGGCCTAGGCCCACTGGGGCTGTAGTGCCAAGGGAAAAAATTAGTACACTTATGTATACGGTGTGGCATGTTGATAAACATAAAATTACATATACTAATGAAATCTTGTAGCATTTTGTAGTTTCCTCAGACCAACATCATTAAATTAATTTGTGCTAATTGTCATTGACTTATCCCATGCTGATCACCAAAACTTATGTTATTCAGCGAAAAATTGATTATTGTATTATTAAATTGATTTTAATGATGTTGGTTTGAAAAAAGCGGCAGTGAGAAAAATATTTATGCATTGTAACTCACCATAAAAGTCAGCTGACTAGGGGAAGAAGCAGAAGGATGTCAACTTGCCGGCGAAACACTTATTATCACATACACACGCCAAATAATTATATGTGTAAAGTATGTAATTTGATAAATAAAAATGTATGAATCTCTCAGTTCTAAACACTACTTCCAACACTAATTAATATTTTGATTTTAAAGACCCAGCACTTTAACACAGCAATTATAAGTTGGAAAGTTAAACTTAGTTTCTTTTATCACAACTGAATTTGGAAGGTTTTAGTTAGGCTAATGAGACTTCTGATTCTGTTTTCCGTCCGTTAGCTTATTAATTCTGGGATAAATTGAAGTGAGAGCCAAACGGAGACAGTCAGAAAGTTGTAGGCAGTTCCTCTGTTTCATTTTAAACACAGTCATGGCAGAAAATGCAGTTTCACAAAGATATGTGCTGAAAAAACAAAGAAGAACACTCACTGCTATTTCATGTAACTTTGGATATTCATTTTTCATTCTTATCCAGAATTTCGAATTACTCGTAGTATTAAAAGTACTTTCCAGTCCTTTGTCCGATGGTAATTCAATAAGTTTAAGGGTTTTTTCGTGGGAAAGGGCTGTCTCTTTGTATTCAACAAAAGGTTTCACAATCCACATATTTTGCCTCCAGGGATCCTCATGTTCGGGATAATATTTTTCAAACGACAACAACATCATCTTCAAGTGGGCTGCAATAATATCTGAAATTGAATTCTATGAATAGAAATCATCTGCTTCCATAATATAATCTGAGTACGACTGAAATATTTCATTGTTTCCTTCTGCAATCACATTAAGCCAGAGTTTGAGTTTCTTTTTGAATGATTCGATCTTGTTCCAAGCATTAAATATTGTTGTATCTGGACCTTGAAGTTTTAAATTCAACTCGTTCATGTAAGAAAATATGTCGCTGAGATACGCCAGCCTGGCTACCCAGGATCCTGGAGATCGCTATGTAGGCTTGAGGTGGATGAATCACTACGTGTTGCGTCAAAAACACCTTTAATACGAGATTTCTTAACACCAAAATTAAACAAAGTCCTATGTTTCTTATTCATATTAAATTTTAAATCACTCAGGTTTCGAAACAAGCACTTACACACTGCAATGCGAACTAGCGAAGAAACAGTATTCAGTATTACTAGATTTGAGAACCGGATACAGACTGCCTTGATCTTCAAATTCAGTGGAAACATTTTCTTTATACTTCCTTGCTGATTGGTCACTGACATTTGCAACACAGATGTTATTTCGCTCAGTTCTGAGAACAGAGGATATGCCGCCCATTGTTGTAATCGGCTTGCAGTCAATTTTTATGACCGGTCATAAACATCGGTATTGCCTTTCCCGAATGTTGATAGATTTTGATGTCTGAAAATTCCCGATCATTCATTAATACTTCCATGTTTAAAAATATGCGGCTTGGTCACTGACATTTGCTACACAGATTTAGGTGTTCTGTGTCTGAGCTTCTCGACACAAATATTATTCTCCTCAGAATATTTCCACTATAAAATATTTATTCATGAAAAATGCTTAGAAAATGAAAATGACAAATTCCAGAAGAGCCTCCTGCGGCCCAGTATAATTGATGCCAGGGCCCACTACTGGGCCGCGGCCCGGCGGTTGAGAAGCACTGTTCTAGATAGATGACGAACGTAACCCATATTTACGACAGGTCACGGATGATTGGCGGGGTGGAAAGAGGGGCACTTGGCCGCTCCTGGGCTCCAAGCCTCTGCCCTCAGGCATCCCAAAGTTGATTGTAAATACTATTAATTTTTAAGTTCATATTCGTACTTGTATTTCATGTTTGTCGATATTTTAATTTCAAGATTTGAAAGTCTTTGCTGTGCAATCACATACTTCGTAATATTAATTGAAATACTTCTGCATTGCTTGAAATAATATAATGATGTTATTTGGATTAAATCGTTGATATTAGACATGTGAACGCTTCTGTTGTGACTAGGGTTATGGAAAGCTCAGTGATGGAAAATTTCAGAAAGTGTGTGTGTGTGTGTGTGTGCGTGCGCGCGCGTCCCCCGTCCGCCTGCGCATTGTTTACAGAGAACTAGAACTATGACACTCTTATATCCGGTTATCATCAACATCGAGAAGGTATCCATGTTCTGCTCATTATTTTGGTCGGAACTATCTTCATACCAAAAACTACATACAATCAGCTACTGACAGCAGTATACTGCACTCTGATGGCAGTAAAAATTACCTGTTTATCATATTTTATTTGTTAGCGATAGTCTTTCAGTGATTCTTGTCATTTCCGGTTACTACCTCGTCTATGAAAATCATAACGTTCTCGATATAACATGGATTACGCTTTTCTAGTGGCAGCGCAAGGCGGAAAATGCAGTATAACAAACGGCTCCACTGAGACAAGCCCTACACCCACTTATATTAAGCCGTTTTCCCACAAAGCATACCAAGCAGTTCGGTGACGGAATCTGAACTCCATCGTAATCACTCACGAAGTGCATGGAAGCTGGCGTTTCGGTATTCGGCTTGTATCTGACATAAGGAGAATACGCGTTTTCTTAGATGTTTTGGATGGCATTATTTTCATATTAGGGTATGCAGCGGGAAATTGCAATCAGATGCTGGTGGGCCTTTAATAGGTACGGGTCAACGTGATAGGTTTTAAAAAGCTAATAGTTGCTCAGCTATTCAAAATATTGCCCAACTTTTATGGACCCTGAATGGTAATTATCCCGAAGATGACGATATTCTGAGATATGATCTGTATGAGCTACACAGTCTGGTAGGAAGGTACAAACGTAGCAGCCTCCGTAGTCTAGGGGTAACGTTCCCACCTCATGACTCAAGGTACGCGGGTTCAAACCCGGCGGAGGTCGTGGAATTCAGGGAACAAGTCCTTCAGGAGGGACTTTAAGCCGTGTGTCCCGTGTCGTAGATTTACGGCACGTAAAAGATCCTCATGTCTCTAGGAGACCTCTGAGCAAAATTAGGAAACTATTTCCCGCCCAAGTAGTTTCCAATGCCTCTAGCAGATGGGGGAAATATCAGGTACCGACGGCCGACCTCGTTGGCTGAACGGGGCTGATAGCACGCACCTGTACCGGTAGGGTATGGCGACAGTAGAAATTAAAGGGGGACGCACNCTTCCAAAACCAAATTGCGTGTTCATGACTCATAATTTACAAGTGTGGTACATGCCCTGCTGATCTGATCCACCCAGACCTAATGATCCTCATAATACTTATGAAGCTATTTATTAACCGTTTTTCTCCACTCCCTCTTAGGTCCAAATATTCTCCTCTGCACCTGCCTTGAAAAGATGTGTTGTATCATAACTAATACAGTTTGTTTGTTTTGAATTAAATTTTGTGTATAACTGTGACTGTTTACCTTTGACTGGTGGACTTCTTTGCCTTTATTATAAAATATGATAAAATAATATAAAATAAGACAGTATTTGTGTACTATTTGATAAAATATGCACAAGATACCATTTAGTATAATGAGCCAGAAGAACTTTTGATTTCTTACAGCATAGCTCTCTGAATGCTCAGAATCATGCCCATTGTGTGCATTACCAATTTAATAATTATAAAATAAAACTGAAAGGTGTACTGCACTGGAGTGCACATATTCTCCCAGAATTTTCTTTGAATTTTTTCTTCGCCAAATATTATTAGGGTTATAAAATTAAGGGTAATATGAAGAATGGGACATGTAATATGCATAGGGAAGTGAGGAGTGGATATGTAATTTTTGTTGAAAAATTTGAATGGCATAGCCTACTAGGAAAACTTTGCTCTGGAAATGTCATGAAGTATTAAGCTGACTTATATAAACTGAAATTTGAAACTACCTTTTAATCATAGTTTTCTTTCTGAAAGGCCTACCTCTTTGATCTCAGTGAGTGAACCATATATATTCTGGAAGAGATGGTTAAATATCCATAACAGTGACAGTGTAAAAGTTTGAACGGTTTCAGTTTCCACTCCAAGCACAGTGCTGCTATTTGTTAAATGGGTTTTCTGTTATGTTTCAGGCATGTGAGGTGCCTGCAAGTCAGAATGAGCACAGCCATTATGTATGCACTGACAATGGAGAAGTGAAGTGTCTCCGAGGGTGGACAGGAGATGTGTGTGATGTTCCCATTTGCAGAAAGGGGTGCGACCCTCTGCAAGGCTACTGCAAACGGCCGGGCGAGTGTCTCTGTAAACTTGGTATGTTAGCTACAAATATTTACATTTTTGTGTGAAGAAGCCATCATTGCCTGAACTGTTTAATACTTATGCTTATTTACTCCAGTATACAAAAGAATATATTCTGATCTGTGACCAATCTCCTAAGCTGTCTCTTCCTTTCAGGTTTTCTGACTAAGATCAGAATATAGTATTAAAATTGTTCTTAAGGAAACAGGAGGTGCATGTGTAGTCTGAATTAGTCTGGAAGGCTCTTGTAGACACAAAATTAACCTTTTAATTCCATGAAAGGCATGGACTTTCTTGACCAACAGAGAAACTATCACCTTTTCTATAAATACTGTACTCCATGAGATAAATTACTTTGCTTTATTATGGAGCGATAGTAAAGATTATACTATTAATTTTTGGAGTTGCTGTGGAGATAAAATGGAATATAAAATGCTGTATCATTATTCTCACAGTTCGATTTTTTTAGTTCTGATTTTGCACAGCTTTAGACATAGTTGGAATCAGTGTAGTGTAAACATAGCGTTCCTTCAGTACAAAAACTACACACACAGTTAACAGTACAGATTATCATACAGTGAGATTTATAAATGCAATGTATACTAATATGAATTTTGTGTGCAATTCTTTAGCCGCATCAAGAGAATGTCAGTTTAAATCTGAAGTTCCTATAGAAATGGCAGACATATGTCAAATGTGTTGATTTTTAGTATTAGGTAGTGATGAAAATTGATCATGAATTGTCTGCTATGATAGAATCATTGTCGCAAACAGTGATGTTTTCTTGTAAGTAAAGGTGCTGGTTTTAAACTGTGACAAAAGGGATGGCCAGTATTTTTTCAAGTTTTTATCAAAATATAATCAAAGAACTTTTCACTAACCATGTGATCATTTCCTACTGGATAGCACCCCACTCCTTCATTTCATCCAATCACAACTTCAGGCCCAAATTGCCATCTACTGCAACATCTATACAAGAACTGCAAACTTTGCCCCCCCCCCCAAGCCATTAACCCTGGAGATGCAAATGCATTCCCTGCCAAAATGAACATTATACATAGTGCATTTCTAAAAGTAGACATTATACAAACAAGAACTCTGAGTAAAATAAAAAGTTTATATCATTACACATATTTTTATTTATGTTATTCCCAGCAACAGTTTCTTAGTAATTGTTTTAATTTTTAAATCTCAAAACTACCATACATATCACACAGGAAGCAATCTTTCCAAAGCTGTTAAATGCAGCTGCATAAAATGGTGACAGCATTTTATGTTCAGCAATTGGCATTATAATAAATACATTCTCTATTTTCACAATTGCAATATATGATTAAGGGAATACAAAATTATGTTTTTAGTTTCAGTGTTATATAATGATGCTGTTTTATTCCTACAACTTAACTTCTGTTTTGTCAACAGGTTTCTACGGTGAACTGTGCAACAAATGCATCTCGCTGCCAGGATGCCAACATGGCTACTGCAACACAAGTTTTGAGTGCAACTGTCATAAGGGCTGGGATGGTCTGTTTTGTAGGGATGGTATGTATCAACAGAAATACTGTGGTTCTGTAGAACTTACAGTAAATATTATATCTTCATTTAATTATTGAGGTTAGGATGTCCTTGTAATATGCATTTCCATGTTTTGGTTAAGAACAATTTAATGGTGCTATGGGCTGGACAGATAGAGTTCAATTCCTGGCAGGGTAGGACATTTTTCTCTCCTCCACAGAGTCCAGACTGGCTCTGGGGCCCACCCAGCCTCCTATTCGATGGGTACTGGGGGGGGGATATTTTCCTGGAAATAAAGCAGTTGGGGCATGAAGCTGACCAAATAAAGTTGGCTAGGTGTACGGCATTTCATGGGTTCAGTTCATATATATGTATACTCCCACTTGGTCGGCCTAGACACAGATGGGAAGATTAAAACATCTCGTAGATAAATTGGTTGTGTGAAGTGTCTCAGGATTGGGTACAGTGACAGGTTTTTGCCAACATGAACATGCTGATTTCATAAATTTAGGAAATTTACTAACCAGCTGAATAACTGATGGAAACTCTGCATCAAGGAATTAGAGAGATACTCAGATGATTAGCTACTTAGACTTGGTTCTATAAAACAAAGTCATTTGCATGCTCGATTTGAGGTTCTTATGATAGTGACTTTGAAGAGTACAGTTTTCTTGGTTGTAATGTCATACACTCCGGAAACAACCCAAAGTTTTGGAGGAATATATTGCCTCCATCTTTGGAGTCAGAGAGTAAGCTGTTGATTTCTTTCTTGGCATACTCTTTTACACTGAAGACAGAGGCAGTATATTCGTCTAAAACTTTGGACCCTCCCTGGATTACACAGCATTAAACCCAGAACACCCTACTCTTCATGGTCAGTTACAGATATCCCACATGCATTGCTCCACAAGCCTGACACACCTGTCCAATGTCAGTTGTCACCTGCTCTTCACTCCTGCATTCCTTCAGTCTAGGACTTCAATTTGAAGATTTTCTGAGAATGACATTGGTGTCAAAATTTTCATTCATGGTGGCAATGTATACCTTGAATTTGTGCACAGTTGGAAAATAGTCCCTGTAACACCAGAATTCTTTTCATAATCATGTTAACCAACTTCAAAAAACATGATTTATAAAATATGTAAAACCTACAGGACGCCTGTTTCCTACATTTCAGCCATCTGTAAAGAAGACTGTCATCATACAAGAGGTTACTGTGAATGGCCAGGAGAATGCAGGTAATGTAATACATATCAAATCATAGATCACTTGGAGTTCTCATTTATTAATGTCTGAAGGCCTTTGAAAACTCATTTGTGCTGCTTATATGTAAAAAGTAACAGCACTCACCCACACATTACAGTACACACAAAAAAACAAAACTCCTTGATTTTAGTCCGCAAGCGAACTATACTAACCGAGTGACTGCCACTTGTTGGCGAAGTTTAGTGCCAACTTTTGTGGATAAAGGGTGTCACATGGTCAGCGCAACAAATCCCCATGGCCATTAATTTCGGTTTTCTAGACCAGAGCCACTATTTCCTTGAAATAACTCCTCAATTATCATCACGAGCCTGAGTGGACCCCATTCCAGACCCACTATTTCTCAGAAAAAATATGGTAGCGCCGGGAATCGAACCTGGACCTCTGGCCAGGAACGCTGGCCACTAGACACACTGCAGTAAATGTTCACTTTTTTAAAAAGTAGAAAATGCGACATTTCACAATCCCAAATGGCAGACAATGAAACAGTATCCCAAATAATGCTATCTATATTCAGAAATTGTGATTACAGTTTTTATCGCTGTCAGTTATGTTTTCTGTATTCACTGGACCAAATGCTTAATTTATATTAAAGTACATTCAGTAAGAGGAATTAAAACTTCTTGAAGTGTCAACATATTTGTAGGTGTCGTCTAGGCTGGGCTGGAGAGACATGCACAGACTGTCAAGTGCTGCCAGGATGTCAACACGGATTCTGTACCAAGCCCCTTGAGTGCCGCTGCCATGAAGGATACACAGGGCTGCTCTGTCAGACTCGTATGTATCACACTATCCAACTATACATCAAAAACAGTCAGGAGTAATTCCATGCATACTGAATGGAGCCTGTGCTAGAGTCCTGTTCAGTCAGTGCAGGAAATCTAGACCAGTCATAACCATTTCCTCTCCAGCTGTCAGCACTTAATATTGCCATCATTAGAGTATCCTTACACTGAATGAAGGAAAATTCATGCAAAATATAGACTGAAGTATATACTATGTACATAGCTTTTAACACATTGCAGACCGGTTGTTTAAATACTTAAATCACCCTGGGAACCGGGGTTTTTAATCCTAGCACCCTAACTTGTGCACTGTTCACTTTAAAAATTAATATAAAATCTCCTAATTAATTTTATGAACTAAAATTTTTGGAGAACACTTACCAGAGCTCCTAGAAGTGCTTGTGCATGTGATATCTCTGGAAACTTTCATCGGAGCACTCACTTTCACTGGACGCAATATTTTGGGGGGCCCTCTGGCCCCAGTCACTGTCAATTTCACTGAGGCTGGCCTCACTATCAGAAGACGAAGCAGTTGGCAAATCTGATAGCTCATCGGAGAACAAATCTAATATTTCTTGTTTTCCAAGAGAACGCTTTGCCTGCAACTGCTTTCGTCTCTGATCCATGTTGCACTGCTAACTTCCTGGTTCATATGTGGAAGCTTGGACTCGAACAAAGGCTTTTTTCTTTAGGGTGTGACAGGAAATGAGCGTGATCATGCTACTGGCTAAGCTAGCAAACATTCCCGAGGTCAAATATGCAGTAGTTATGATGCAACGTAGCCACACAGTGAGATATAGTCGGTTGCAACATAACGCGTCAGAAAAGGGCCAATTGGCCCGCCCGGCCCACAACCCTATAGAAACATAGAGGCCCAATTGGCCCCTCCAGTCCTGAATGTGTTAATTATGCATTCTGGTGACTACCATGTATTTACTCTTTTAGGCTTTATTGGTAATTCATTTCTGATGTTGATTCTGCTCTTGGGTCTTTGTATCATAAGGATGTGAGCAGTGCTGCCAATGCTTCAGAAGTACATGCTGCCTCAATCTTCATAGTTACTCTGAAGATAGAGTCAGCATGTACCTCCAAAACATCAACGATGTTGCCCACTTCCTTGTACCCTGAAGACACACAAGCACCATCAAACACCAACAAATTATATTTTTATTTTCTCATATTTATAGATTAATACAATGAATTTATGAACATACACACAGACTTTTAAAAGTAGTTGGTGAAAATTAAAATGTTCTTGTAACTAAACTGTATGGATCAGAAGATCTAAATGTGTAGTTGTTAGGGAAAAGCAACTTTTGAAGATTTTTGGTTGTTTCTTTTATGACTTCTTGATACAAAATTCTTAATTCTTCCACAGGCTGGTTAGTTTTGTTGAAGGCCCAAATCAGTCACAGAAGTGCAGTTTACCTGTGGGTCCCTTTTATGCTCCTCTACCCAGTTTTCTGCTTCTAGTAATGTTATCTTTATTACTTTGAAATATTCACATTTTTTGATAATGTAAAACAATGCCCATGTAAACACAAATATAACTCAGTTAGTTTCAAATCCAGTAATATTTACTACTCTTTCCTTACAGCCATATGTGCTGAGAACTGTCACAAAGAGAGAGGCTACTGCAGAAAGCCAGGAGAATGCAGGTACAGTATGCAGTATAATTATATAAAAAACAAAATATTCCTTAACCTATCTTTGTTACATATATGCTAGCATATAGAAATATATCTAAACTATCATTACAGTCACGCATACTGTCAGACTGTTACATTATAAACATTACTAATACAGAATACTGCCTTCTGGGATGAGATGCCATGTAGTCTGGTAGAAATTACAGATGTTCCTCTGAAATGTCTGTAAAGTACTATCAAGCATCACATCCCAGAAGGCAATGTTTTTCATACTCATTGCTGTGAGCACCTCAAGCACGTTACTTATGCATCCAAAATGTTTTTGTGCATGACACTTTTTTAATTTTAGTTATACATGTGTATACATATTTCACACATGTGGAGCCCATTTTGATCGTTAAGTATTAAAAGTATTCGAAAATAAGAAGCTTTTGAGAAAAAACTAAGTTTGTTGCATGTATCTAATATATCATATATTTTTATGCCGTTACATTTATTCTTTTGAGAACTATATATATTGTATGAATACTGCAGTGCATTTTAACCAGAGATTACCACTTTAATTACACTGACCAAAATATTTAATGGTGCAGGGTGAGTCAAATTAATTTGTCTGTATATCTTATCTACAATACATACATTATAAATGCAGTGAGTTTTGCAAAAGGACAAAATGTCTAGTATTCAGAACAACCTGGCAGCCTTGAGTAATACAAATTTTCAACTGAAAGTTGATCATGAAAATCCAATAAAAATCCTCTTAGCAGAAATATATACACATGTCTAAATTACACAAATATTTAACCCTTTAAAGCCAGAAGTATACCTAAATAATATTTAAAAATTCAGTTCCTACTTCTCTATCATAAACCACCTAGTTCTCATTTTGGAAACAACTGGTGTTCAGTGTCAGAATCATACCAGACAGAATGAAGAGATCATTAACGTGAAAGCAAGTGTTAATAATCAGTGTGCTTTAACTCTATTGCTACGATATTTGACTGAAGGCAAACATCCACTGCCATATGTTGTGATATTTGATGTTGGTCCACATCAACAAATAATCATCCCCTTTTGCTTCATCATTTGACTTCATTCTCTGTTCTATGAGAACACATTTTTTAATATTTTTACCTTAAAATTGTATTAGTTTACAAAAATGGTGAGAAAATAACATGCAGTGAAAGGATTGAAGAGTTAATAATATTCTCTTATATCTTTCTTCAAAACACAGGTGCAAGGTGGGCTGGACAGGCAAGAACTGTGACCAGTGCTTTGCTTACCCTGGGTGTGTTCATGGTTCATGCCATCGCCCATGGGAATGTAACTGTGAGCCTGGATGGGGCGGTATGTTGTGTGACCAAGGTAATATATACTTGTAATTTTAGCACTGTTTTCCTTCAATATCAAGTTTGGGTTTCTGCATGGAGGAGGAAAAGCAATGATCATGCAGTTTTATTAAGATTTGTTCAGCACCCAAGGTAGGAGTGATGGGGTCCTTCCTTTAGTTCAGTACTCTTAAAAGATTGAAACAGATAAAACAAATAAGGAACTGTACATAGAGTACCAGGAATCATCCTGGGGGTAATGGCTGGCTTGTGTGTAAGGCTGACCTCACCACCATCTGTGCGCGAACTGTCTAGAAAATGTGGGAGCCTCAACATCTCACAACCCTGTGGGCCTCCACAGCTCTACAGGGATAGTTTTACCTTTTTTATACACAGCATAATAATTCTGGTGCACTGGTCCCTTTTGTTGAATTATCTCAAAACCTACATGACTTACAGTAAAAGTGAACTGGGCACAAAATTTGTCTCGTTTTTACAACTTTTATTTAAATCTGATAAAATTTGTCTCATTTTTACAACTTTTATTTAAATCTGATAACTATTTAGTAACTTAAATTCACAATGTGTGCAAATATACGTGTAGGATTTCATGTAGTGTTCATTATTTTTGTACAATTTTAACAAAAATTGGAATCAATGGAGACATTTTAGGAAAATATCCAAATACCAAATTTCAAAGAAAATCCATTCAGTGGTCATGTTTTATGTGCTAACAGATATGACAAGGCTAACAGGCCAATTTCTGCAACTTTTCATTGTGAACATATACACACACACAAAAATACTTATTTGCATCCCTGTCTGCAGAGAAATCCTCATTTTGTGTTTAAAAGACGTTGAAATTAAACACTAAACTGAAGATTTTACTTCCTTCTGGAACATGGTACTATGAAATCTGGTTGCTCTGCAGGAACATCATAAACATTTTATGAGATCACATAGTTTCACATCCCAGCAGAAACGAATCTAACTCACTGCTCGAGAACCCCAAATGTTGCATGACCTTAGTTTGCTTATATCATGTTGTGTATTCACAGAGCTGAAATACTGTGACAAGAATGAAGATGTGTGTGAAAATGGGGCAACCTGTGTGAGTCTGACAGAAGAAGATGGAAATTACCGATGCCTCTGTGCTGAAGGATTTACTGGCCGAAACTGTGAGGTGGCTACACAAGTTGAGCAAGCAGTCGTCTCACCCACAGCTCCCCCTACTACTTCTGAAACCACTTCCACCATAACCAGTACATCTTCCCCTTCTATTTCTGAAGTTAGAAGTGAAATATTAGCCAACGTGGCACATAATGAAGCTATATAAACTAACTTAAGCAAGTACTCTATAGTCAAGTAAGGCCTGACACATGAGATTGATAGGATTGAAAGACAGAACAGCACCAAGACAAGGAAATAGGCATAGTGACTCAGTTCTTGGGGTTTATATAAACCAGAAATTCAACAGTTTTATCATTAACTTTCCACACAGCATCCATACCAGCTTTGGAGCCCACCCTGCCTCCTGTCCAATGGGTCCCAGGGGCTTTCTCCATGGCTATACTGGCCAAGCTGTGAAGCCGACAACTTACCTTTACTGCCACGGTTAAGAATGTGTAGGTCTATATGTCCACATGCCCACACTAAGACATCGTGTCTAATTACAACAGGGAATACAAAAATTGTCACAATATACAAGCTAAATGATGCATGATGATAAAATACTGTCTTTTCCCTCAACTAGATGGAAGTATGATCTAACTTCCTGCATAATCAATAAATGCTAATAAAATCTTGCCTAAAATAATTCGTATATCTATAATAAAATGCAAGCTAAAATATCTACATACTTCCACCAGTTTTAAAAGTCTTTGACAGTTCCATGTTATATGATAAAACCAATTCAGATGAAGGGAGAAAGAATTTTGAACTTAATATCCAAAGGATTTGGAAACGATAGGTTCTCCAACATCACAGTGTTTCTCAAAACCCATAAGGTTTACTCTAAGTGACACAAACTGAAAGGAAATCAAGTCTGTCTTTCCATCCAGTCATTAATAAGAAATTAAATGAAAAGATTACTCCTGTAAGTATCTGACCAATGAACTAAAATAATTATAATAGATAAAAGTTCCATGTTAAATAATTTACTCTCAGTTCATCTGATACACTGAAATATTACTCTTATGGTTGTTAGTTTACTGTGAAGTATGTCATCTCTAGCTTGTATCTCCTAAATTAATTCTAGTTCTAGCATTTTGAAAGGCAGCAGGCTCTAAAACAACTGTGTAGCTCTTCAAAGATAAATTATAAGAACCTAATAAGGGCAATAATAAGCTACCACTTGAACATATATAATCCTGTAGTTGTTTTATATAGTATAACCGTAGTTCCCTGTATAAGTACTTATTCTTATTTATTTATTTATATAATATATATACGAGTAGAATATTTGTTTGCTTCATGCTCTAGAAGGTCAAACCAGATCCTGGAGACTATAGGTTTTTTCTTTGGCCAATATCTGTAGCAAGGGGAACAGAAACAAAAATATATCCATGTAAAAATAGAACTATGGCCTAAATTACTTATACTAAAAATCTGGATATCATTTATCTGTAATAGTGCCTTGCCCAGGTATAGTAAAATTATCTCCAAGATATGGTTCAAGGCTGGGGAACATCATTTTTTTAACTTATGCTTTTAATTTATTTTTATATGAATCAATGCAGAAGTTATGTAGTACAAAAGACTCCTAGGAATAAATAAAGAATAAATTGGTTCTCCATGCATTTAGTACTCATCCATGTGAAAAAAATTACTTCCCTTGTTTTGTTTTGTGCATTCCACAAAGTATGGTTCAGATCACAACCAGTTCCTTTAGAATGCATTTTACAGTCATCCATTCCACTAAAACAATTTGTTATTCTTACTCACTTCCCTAAATGTTGTGTGCTGCTGTTTCCCCCTGCATGTAACCTGCACAAACCTGGTTTAAAGAAACACTAACAAATTATCTGTATCAGAGTCCATCTTTAGAAGCTGATAGTTGCTCAAGTAGTCAAGAAATTCCCAGCATTTTATCTTCAGTGCAGAAGTCACAGACAGCAGGTTCCTTCAAAAGGTCAGCAACTTTCTACTGAAATACATGGTCTCACATCGCAGCATTCTGGTGAAGATATATTTTTTTATTCATATAAACATGTTTTTTATTTATCTATATAGTACATAAAACAGAAAAAGTGAACTACTGATAAATAGCTTATCCTGGGAATAATATTAAATTTGCTTCAAGCCTAATGTTGTGGAACAGTTCTTCAGCCCAGTACACATACATAAATAACTTGCTAATATTAAGCAGTTTCTGGCAGTAGGTGTATGACAGTATGTGAAACTAACAGCAGGCTTTATCATCGAGGAATGGCACCTGATTTCTGGGCTGCTGCCATTGCATTTTCATTTGCTATAATTTGAAATTCTTGGAACCTCTGTGAAATACGCTGATTCATCTTCAGGTATTTCTCCATGCAGTTCAAAGCACACCTGTCCTAGAGAAAATGAAGACATATTCCTCAAATCACATTAACAATGCAGAAATTTGTATTACTCAAAATAAACAGTAAAATGTTTTGCTATATACCTCTTGTGCTTTAACTGTTCTTGATGTGAAATCCCATATACAGTCCTTGAAACACAACTCCGACAATTTGTTGTATGACATTAAGAAATCCCGAAACTAGAAAATAATACATGTTTTTATAAGGTCACTAATATACACAACATAGTCATGACACTGCAATATGCTGCATCTTTATAACACAAATTTCATATGTAGAGGGACTTGAGTTGTGACAGCTCAGTCAGTATAGCGATTGCACAAGGAGGGAATCCCCAGGGAAGTGTTATTTAATTCCTGGTACGGGCAGAAATTTTTCTCTCCGCAACATCTAGACAGGCTCTTGAGTCCACCCAATGGGTACATGGCACTCTTTCCTTTGTGTGTGTGTGTGTGGGGGGGGGGTTAAAATAGCTCACTGCTTGCTGCCATGTAGTGTTGAAGTTAAGAATGCACAGAACTGTATTTCCATTCTTCCATATGTATTCACAGATTCATGGCATGGTGCTTATTAAGCATGGAAAAAAAACTCTACCTACTATTAACAAATAGTGATTTTTATTAAATAACTGAATTACAAGAAAGACCTATATGTACCCATATATTTTGTGGTGATATGAAAAGTAAAGGCAATTAACTCACAAAACTGCATGTACACCTCAACATGCACCCAACATAATGAAACATACACTACATTAAGACAAGTTTAAACACAACCTTGGTTGTCAGTGTTTCCTACAACATTGTAAACACATGGATTCTGCTTCTGATTTACATCATCCACAAACATCAATTTTTGATTGAAATGGTTCAAATGGTTCTTCCTCATCCATTACATAGTCTTAACCTCTCATTTGACTATCACCTATCTTGGACTACTTGAAAGGATTACATGTATGCTGATTATCAAGAAGTACAAGAGGTGTTTATTTAGCCTTGGAAGCAACTGGAAATATTCTTCTCAGAAAACATCAAGAACCACAACAAAAGAGATGTGGCTTTTTTTTATTTCCCTCATACATTAATGCATCTAACATCACTCAAACCTGTTTATTGGTTTCTTTTTGACACCCAGTTTGAAGTGTCTTTATCTTAATATGTTACACATTAATAATTAAAATGTCAATGGAATTTTCATAGTTTAAAGGCTAAATTCTATGATGTACTGAAACAATTCAGGGATATACTCATACAGAGTGTTAAATGTGCCAAAAGCCAAACTTTGGTAGACTGTTTAAAAATAAAAATATATGGGCAAACTGCAACATGCAACTAAAGTATATGAGTAGGTGGGAAATCATACCATGTGGTTTGTTGAGGTGCAATGCCACTGCTAAATACTCACGGATTTAACTTGTTCAGCATCAGCATTTATAGCGTCTGCTCCTGGAACCACATTTCCAGACATATCCTCTGAAATGTCGAATAAACTATTAATGAAATGTGTTACAAAATATTATGTTGCACAATTTTCAAATGTAAAACTTCCTACTGCCAGGCAAATTATTTATGTGCATGACCTGGAACATAACCACCACGTGTTTGGATACGCTCGATATGGCTGACGAAATAAAGTCTGGAATGAACTACAACAGTTTACCAAATGATTCATCGGAAAACAGTTATAATATGTATTATTTGGGCTATCCAAAAGATAATGTGAAAATTTCTTCATAAACCTGCCCAAGCAAGCAAATGCTTTGCCATAAATTGAGGTTATAGAAACGAAAAATATACGCTATTTGTAAGAATTGAACGTATTAATATCACACTTTCAAATACGTTCTAAATTTGACTATTTAAATGTTTACGAATACTTAACACGTTTCGTATTGTGAACTACTGTAATTTTTTGGACCTATAGCAGAGTATTTGGTATTTGACTCCGTATGATATATATTGTTTCTTCAACGTTGGTACACGAAATCGAAATTGGAAACGTAATTTATCGATGCCGTTGATATTGCGTCGATTATAGTCGATATTTTACTGCGGCTGGTTTGGAAATATAAGTTTTTTAGAAGTTCTTCAGGAGTACCCTCAAGATTTTTGATGTATTCTATAACAAGCGTAGTACGCTATGTACATTTGCCGCCAGTAATGCATGGCAAACGTTAGTCATACGCCCCTTTTCTTGATGTCGATAATTTTGTGTGTAAGATGTGACAATTACACATTATTATGTTGTGTTCACTGTCATGCTCTCATCAAGGTAAGCATAATGATTCAGATTACAGGATGCGAATATGCCTTAAGTACTTTTCGTGTTATATTTGCCTACCGCAGTGACAGTTGATATCGCTTAGTGTAGTTATCCTGGGCATATGCAGAGCCAGTAAAGCATTGATTAATTAACCTCATTGAAGGTACTATGCATGTAATGAACAAAGTGGCGCAAGCTCAGGCCTTCTCCTAATACTTAGGTTTACCTTACCAGTTCTCATTCCACCAACTGTTCTGCATCCCATTATTGATGCTATATAGTCTGAATACAGAGCATTGTTAAGTAACCAACTTAAGAAAGCTATGTATGTATGTTTGCTGTTAGTATGAGAAATTGACTGGTTTTGGAATCACCAGCGAATCTTCTCTCATTTTATAAGATTGCATCCTGCTTTGTTTATTTTTAAGTTATAAGATTAACTGACACACAAACTTCTGATAAAAAAAATCCTTCTTGTTTTTTTATTTCTGACCATACACTACATATAGGATTTGAGGCTCTCACAGTGGTGGTTATGAAGAGTTCTATCCTGTGGGATATAACGACATGTAGTCCATTGAAATCCAACTGACATCTTGGAGGAATATATCGCTTCCACCTTCGGGGTTGACTTTCAGTGGACTACATGGTAACATATCCCAAAAGACAGAATTCTTTGTATGCTATATGTTTTGACTCTAAATGGTCATCGCCAGGTGACATACAGAAATCAGCTAAAAAGTATGACCTGTAAGTATAAATTTTGTTGAAACAAAAATGTATCATTTGAGGCTTTCACGGCGGTGACTATGAAGAAAGCAGTCTTCTGGGATTTGGCACTGTGTATAAGTGGTGTTAACCGACGTTTCGGAGGAAGGTATCGCCTCCATCTTCAGGGTAGAAGCAGTCTGCTTTTACCGTTCTCACGGTCTTGTCGCTTGCAGATTTCTTATACTTTTTCTTCTACCCTGAAGATGGAGGCGATACGTTCCTCCGAAACGTCGGTTAACACCACATATACACGGTGCCAAATCCCAGAAGACTGCTTTCTTCAAAAATGTATCAGTTTTATGCATATGTCTACGAGTATATAAAATTAAGTTAGATACAACCTAATTCATTATTTTCTTCGCACTTCTATTTTTGAAAAAATTATGCTTGCAGTTTTATTTTATCTGATTTATGTATGTCCCTCAATAATGACCATCTACAGTCAAAACGTGTAGTGTATAGTTAGAAACAGAAAATCATGAAGGTTCTTTAACATACATTTGTGTGATGCTTAATCATACAACTTTTTCCAGTGATGCGGTAATGTAATTACCTGCTTGCTTTTTATTTAATTCTAACCTGAAAGAAATTATTGATTGATTGATTTATTTCGTCACTGTAGATCATTGTACATGATATAGGACAAGTCAAGTTAATTCTGAATATTAAGAATTTAATATATGAGTAAGATTAAAATTACAATAGTTACAATTGTTTACAGTTGATTACAATTTAGAATTAGTTAGATATTCTTATTTGTGGAGAATTTGATGGAATGAAGATTTGCAGGGGAAACCGAAGTACTCGGAGGAAACCTGCCCCAGCGCCACTTTGTCCATCACAAATCCCACTTGCCCAGATCGCAGTGGTGGGAAGCCAGCGACTAATCGCTTAAGCTATGGCATGGCCTTAGAATAATGATATGGATAGCTAGTGTAATGTTCACTGCAGATTGGTGCTCTTCTTGATGGCCTGGTATTCTCGATCTCTCTCTAAGCGGCCTACGTAGACGTCCCTCCATCACATGATGTCCTTTCTATCACATATCCAACATGGTGTCTTGATTCCTTTAAGCAGAAGAGAACTGCGCAGTATACATTCATAGCATGCTGGTATAAGCTCAACAAGTCACTTATTCTTGAATTATCTGGTCATATTGATGTTAACTAGGGTTTATCCCCAAACAAGAAAAACTCATCTATACTATAAAAACAATGTTCAAGTAGAAATGTTTTCAAATGTGAAACCTGAGATATAATGTTGTATTTTAACATCCTGGTTAAACCAGGAACTGCACAGAAAGCTACGCTGAAGGTTGTGTTTATGTACATTTATATTGTCTGAGATATTTTGATTAACATAATTATTCTGATTGGTGCATGTTTTCAGCTCTCCAGTTTTTACTTCCATCATATATCTCCTTCAAGATTAAATATAAATTTGTAGTTTTCAATGAAGCAAAATAAAGAGAAAGGCAGAAAAGTGTTCATGCACAGTTCATTGGCATCAGATAGTGGGCCTCGCCCAGTTGTCAAAGTTAAAAAACATTTTGAAGCTGTGCTGGGAGGCAACTGTAAGAGGTCTCAGAATGATGCATTCAAACAACCAGTTCTTGTTAATAAGCTACCAAGCTTCGTTGCAAATGATTTAGAAGTGCAAGAAGAATATCAGCAGCAGCTTCCAAGTTATAGACCACAGGACACCAAAAGGAAATGGTAAATGATATAATTTATTCATGTTGGTGAGATAGTATTAGTATAGTATAGTATTTATTCAGTATTCCAGACATCCACAAGATGGATACAGAAGTTGTCCTCACTCAGTACACAGACCGATTACAAAAGTTGTTTACATGGAACATTACAACAGTATAAAAATATAAATAGTTAAGACCTTAGATTACATAAATAAAATGTCAGAGACATGTCATTTGAGAACAGTCATATTAAATGAGAATCCAAACTAAACAAATAATTATGAGTTACAAATAGTAAATAAATCCTTCAGATTACTGAAAATAAGATTAATTGGAAATGCACAGGTAGAAATCATAATTATAACAAAACAGGCACTATAAAATGAGTTTGCAATGAACAAATAATCATAAATTACAAATATAGTACACAAGAAAAGTGGTTTTGAATTTAGCTATGTTACCATTAACATTCTTAATATGAGAGGGTAATTGGTTAAAGATTTGTATCCCCGAATAATAGGCTCCTTTTTGATGAATGGATAAGTTTGCCTGTGGAGTATATAAATTATTACTTTGCCTAGTTTCTAGGTTGTAACTTTTAATGCTTGTTATAAAAAGATCTTCATGCTGAACTACAAACATCAATAAGGACAATGAATATTGAGATGTCAGAGGAAAAATATGTAATTTATTAAATAAGTCTCTACATGAAACCCTATTCCCACATCCTTCCATAATTCTAATTGCTTTTTTCTGTAAATGAAGAATTGTGGTGCTATGTGGAGAATTACCCCAAAATATGATTCCGTAGCTCATCACTGAGTGAACGAAAGCATAATAAATTATTTTTAATGATGAGGTAGTCATGTATGTTTTGGTGCTTCTAATTATATAACAAGCCTTGCTCGATTTTTTGCAAGTGCTTCAATATGATTATCCCAAGACAAAGTTTCATTCATTATCATCCTTAGGAATTTTGTACAGGAAGTACTGGTTACAAAATTATTGTTATAACATATCTTTAAATTGGCAGATATATTTTTCTTAGTTACAAAGTGAATATGATGTGTCTTGTTAAAATTTGAAGCTAATAAATTGGCTTTGAACCATTTATTTGAAATTTAAAAAATGCTTTGAATGTTGTTATTTAAATCTGTTAGATTAGGCTGAGCAAATAAAATACTAATATTATCCGCAAAAAGTACAGGTACAGAAGTTTTGTTTATTATTTAAGGTAAGTTGTTCGTATAAGTAAGAAAGAGTAGAGGTCCCAGATAGTTACGTATTTGGAAAACAAATCACTTTAGTATCTAGCCTGACTGTCTTCCCCTTTTTCATAAATTATATTGTTATCTGTTCATTATTTACAACGTTTCTCTGCATGTTTACACACTGACCTTTTCTTTAAATTGATGGGTACACAAGTGGACTGATTATGTGAGTCCCTTCGAATTTGGTTCATCAGGATATGGAACAAACCCATGAAAGGTAAAGACAGTGAGCCAGTTACACTAGGATAAGCATCAGACACATAATACACTTAATTTTTATGTAACTGGGAAACTCCTTGTAATTATTCCACATTAATTTTTACAATTTTGTATATAATTAACAAACTGCTTTTAATTAAGCTAGGTTTAGAACTTCATCAACATAGTGGGAGGCGACTGGTGAAGAGAATTATTTTAATGCCAGTTTAAATTGGTTTCTATTAGTGGATAGACTTTTAATTCTTACAGATAGTTTATTATACAATTTAATTCCTGCAAAATATACACCGTTTTGGTACATGATCAGATTAGCAATTGGTATGTGGATATCATGTCTGTGCATACTGTTGATTTTGTGATTGAAATTTTTCATAGTTATTGACTTTAAATATCATTAAAACAAACATATGCTTAAGGGCAAGTATTGGTGTTGATTGGAGTAAATCTCCTAAAACAACATTTTCACAGCTCAATTATCAGAGCACTGGCCATGATTCTGATTATATTCATATGCAAAAGGAATATACTTACTATAGAATTCTGATGATGGTGTGTAACACACAGAGATGTTGGGTTTTTGGGCTTTATCCATCGCCCTGGTTTTAAGATAACTAAGACCAGTGATTGAGGCTAGCTCTTTCTAAGGGACCCAACAGAATAGGTGTTTTCCCTCACCTGAGGACGGAAACAGATCCAGTTTCCGAAACGTCATGTTTTCTTAGTTATCTTAAAACCAGGACAATGGATAAAGTCCGAAAACCTAATATCTCTGCGAGGAATATACTTCATTATGCTGAGTTGTGTTGCCATGTGGTCTTGAGGGTGGTTACTTATAGCTTAGACTTGCTGTGTGCATTTCTTAGCTAAACAAAATTTTACTAACCAATTTAATATTGAATATGAAAATAAATTTTTATTATAGTTAAATGAGGTAAAATTCTTTGGTATAACACTGGATAACTTAAATTCTTGGAAAAAACATCGATTCAATCTTACTTACTTACACATGGAGCTGAGCCCTTCTAGAGGAGCTGCCAATTCTGCAGCTACTCAAGAATTTCCCAGCATTTTATGAAACCCAAAAGTTCATTACCATGTTCACAAGAGCCCCCCACTCTTTCCTATCTTGAGCCAGATCTATCCAATCCATACCATCACATCCTATCTCTCTAAGATCCATTCTAATATTGTCCACCCACCTACGCCTTGGTCTTCCCTGTGGTCTCTTTCCTTCTGGCTTTCCCACCAATATCCTGTACGCATTCCTCATCTCCCCCATTCGTGCTACATGAGCTGACCACCTCATCCTCCTTGGCCTGATCATTCTAATTATACTTGGAGAAGAGTACAAGTTATGAAGCTCCTCATTATGCAGTTTTCTCCAACCTCCTGTCACTTCATCTCTCTTCAGTCCAAATATTCTACTGAACACCCTGTTCTCAAACACCCTCAGTCTATGTTCCTCCCTTAATATCAGAGAACAAGTTTCACACACATACAGAATCACAGGCAAAATTATAGTTTTGTATATTCTAATTTTTATGTTTTTGGACAACAGACGGAAGACAAAAGGTTCTGGACTGAATGATAGCAAGCATTTTCCGAGTTCAGTTGCCTCTTAATTTCCTCCTGAATCAGGTTTTGATCTGTTATCGTCATCCCAAGTATCTGAACTGTGCCACATTTTCAAAACATATGTTTCCTTTCTTTATGTCATAATTTTGCCCTGCATTTTGGTGACAAGACAGTAACATATACTTAGTTTTCTCTGTGTTTCCTTCTAGACCAACCTCTTTACTTGCATCAGTTAAAGTTTGTGTGTTTTTCTTTATGGTATCTACATTATCACCCAGTAGATTCACATCATCGGCGTAGACCAACAGCTCATGCGTCCCATTTAATTTCAGTCCCATCTGGTTTCCCAGGACCTTCCTAATCGCAAATTTTAAGGCAAAGTTGAAAAGGAGTGGCGATAAAGCATCTCCTTGTTTTAGACCATTCTGGATAAGAAATTTATCAGACAAATGTTTACCTACACGGACTTTACTATATGTTTCGTTTGAACACATTTTAATCAACCTAACTACTTTCATGGGTATCCCAAACTCTATTAGAATATTGTACAATACTTCCCTCCTAACTGAATCATAGGCTTTCTTGAAGTCTATGAATAGCTGATGTACTGTCTCATCGTACTCCCATTTTTTCTCCAATATCTGACGAATGCAAAAGATCTGATCTGTAGTTGATCTGTTACATCGAAACCCACACTGATGATCCCCAATAATTTCATCTATATATGGACTTAACCTTGAAAGAAGAATATTGGACAAAATTTTATATGAAGTTGATAGCAGTGATATTCCCCGATAATTACTACAGTCAGTTTTATCACCCTTCTTGTGCACTGGTACAATAATAGACTCCTTCCACTGATCAGGCAATTTTTCCTTATGCCAAATAGAAGTAATTAGATTGTGGATCTTAGAACGTAATATTTCGCCTCCTGCTTGAATAAGTTCTGCCAGAATTTGATCACTACCTGGCTTTTTATACCGTTTTCCAGTTTTGCAATAGCACTTTCAACCTCAAAAGGGCTAGGATCAAGTATTAACGGCTCAGTTGTCTGGATTTCTGTCTGCCTAACAGCACTGGCCCTATGTACATTCAATAACTGAGAGAAGTAGTTCCTCCACCTATTCAAAATGTTGTGGGAATCTGCAAGCAGATCACCATTCTCATCCTTCACTAAGTTATTGTTAGGCTGGTAACCCCTCTTAAAGTCATTTATTCCTCTATACAGGTCTCTAATGTTCTTGTTCTTACTGTTCATTGCAAGCTCATCAATGTTGTCTTTCAGATATTCTCTCTTTTTGTTCCGGAAATGCCTGCTGGTTTCATGTGTTATGTTGTTCAGATTATCCCCATTTAACTCGCTTGGATCTTGTAACTGTTGCAATTTGGCCTGCTTTCTTTGATCTAATAATTTTGAGCATCCTTCATTGAACCATGGCTTATGCTTCTTCGGTTCATAATAACCTACACTCTCTTTGGCAGACATTTTTATATTCTCTCTAATAGTTTCCCAAGCTTTATTAACATCCACCTCAGTTTCCAAGTTTTCCAAAGCCATGAACCTATTTGAGATTTCATCATGATACTGCTCTTTACTCTCTACCTCATTTAATTTCTTGAGATTGAATCTCTCAATATGAACTCTATGTGTTGTGTGTTTGCTCACTGCCAGTCTTTCCCTAACCTTTGCCACCACCAGATAGTGGTCAGTATCTCAATCTACTGCCTTGAATGATTGGACATCAGGTATACCTGAGTGTCATCTCCTATCTATCAAGATATGGTCTATTTGACTGT